AACTTACTATACAATGGTCTAGCCGTCAACTCAGAAGTAAGCCTCTTCATGTTTAATAGGGTTAATTGCCATATCAGAGGGTAAGGGACTACAGCCTTGGCTTTCTTGTCAAAAAGAGTCAAAGGTTTGTGTATGTGTGTTCAGTGTCAATGAAAAAGCAACTAATTTTTTTTAAATAAAAAAACTGATCTTAAATACAGACACCCCATAATGTTTAATGTTATTTTATAAAGAGTGACAGGAAGGGAGCAAAAGTTAGGAAGGGAGCAAAAACAATGGGAAATGAGTTTTAAATTTGAAACTGCACATGCTCAGAATATTTTGGTTTTGTTTATTAAGGTTGCTGAAATGTTTGTGTTTTTCCGAGGGCTGTGAAACTGAACATGTTTGGAGTATAATTTTTGTAGTCCATGAAAGCTTATGTAATAATAAAATTGTTAGTCTTTAAGATACCTATAAGATGTGTTTTCTTTACTCCAGGCATTTTCTGCGGGGGTGGGGAGGGGGGCTTTATTTGGGGAACTGTATCAGGGACCCCAGCTGCCTTAATCTGGCCTTGATCCTAGGGGTCATAAGAGGGGCATCACAGTACTTCCTTTGGCTGATCCAGGTTCAGTTGTTTTCTTGCTGTCCTTCAGATTCCAGTGTCATTCCTTTAATAATAATAATAATAATAATAATAATAATAATAATATTTTTTATTTATACCCCACCCTCAGCTGGGCTCAGGGCGGCTAACACTAGTAAAATTACAATAAAAACATAATGGGGGGGGGACAATTTAAAATACAGGTTAAAATGCAATTTAAAATGCAGCCTCATTTTAAAAGTAGCCCATGGATCAAAACCATAAGGGGAGGGAAACATAAGGGTCAGACTGAGTCCAAACCAAAGGCCAGGCGGAACAGCTCTGTCTTGCAGGCCCTGCGGAAAGGTGTCAACTCCTGCAGGGCCCTAGTCTCTTGTGAAAGAGCATTCCACCAAGTCGGGGCAAGTACTGAAAAGGCCCTGGCCCTAGATGAGACCAATCTAACCACCTTGCAACTTGGGACCTCCAAAGTGTTGTCATTTGTGGACCTTAAGGTCCTCCGTGTGGCATACCAGGAGAGGCAGCCCCGTAGGTACGTGGGTCCTAGGCAATGGAGATGTCATCTTCAAGAAATATCCGTTCCCTGAATGCTTTCTATCCCCCCCCCTTTTTCCTACAGGGATTTATACACTTGCTAAGCCAGCAAAACCTCCCCTGCCTCCCAAACCAGGTGAGTCAGTATGTTTCCTTTCTTCTCTTCTTCCGCCTCAGTCGTGCTTCTGCACTTGACAGGCTCGTGACAGTGTTCTCAGTATGCCAAGAAGATGAGACACAGGCTTCTTCCTAGCAGTGCCTTACAGATCTATGAGAGTTCTTTGCTCTTCCATGGCTTCTCTGCCAGTGATGTGGAAATATGCATTATATATGTTAACGATTCTTCAGTATTTTGGTGTAGCAATTTTATTTATTTTATTGCATTCCGCCAAGGAGCTCAAGTTGATGTATGCCATTACTCTGCACCCCAGCTTTGTCCCCATAACAGTAGCAGCTGGCAGAGTGGCACAGGTGGGTCTACATTGCTCGCATGCTTCCCCAATGCACTGCGTCACTGCATGTTGCCAAGAAGGGGAGGGAAGGGGCAAGGCAGTATGGGGAGCATCGGATTGGCTCTGCCACTGCGCCTACAGCATCCTGAGCTCCCTGCTACCTTGCCCCTCTGCCCTCTCAGTGAACAGCAGCCACATGCAGTGTTGGGAAGCCAGGCCAGCAACGCAGACCCACCAGATGCTATTTCATTACAGTCCTATGAAGTTAGATGGAGAGGCAGTGTCTGGTTCCAGACCACCCAATGAGCTTCATCTCTGAGTGCAGGCCCGTGCAGAGGGTTGGGGAGCAGCCAGGAATGCTTGCCCTCAGCCTCAGGGGGCTACGCTGGCAGGGAGGCCCTGCCAGGGGCTTGCTGGTCTTATGCTGTCATGCCAAGAATGCCCGTACCTCCTAGCTGACCAGGGACTCACATCCCAGGCCTCAGACAAGCTCTGCACAGGGCTGGCTGAGTGTAGATTTGAACCTTGGCCTCGCCACCTTTAGACTGACCCTGTGATCACTGCCCCATGCAGCCTTTCAGTTAAAGAGTGCAAGTCTTCCAATATGGAGGCTTTCACTGTGAGCCCCCAGACTAATGGATTAGTCTGGTACCCTTTTAGCTTATACATGTTTGGAATGGTAGAGAGCAAGTGGCACAAGCGCACGTAAATGTTCCTACCATGTGGCAGTGAGTCCTGCAAAGATGGCATGTGGCAGAGTTATTTTGGATGGTCCAGACTTTACTGGCTTCCATTCTAGCAGAGAGCCCTGGAGAATTCAAAGATCAAACTGATCCAACACCCTTTGATGATAAAGTCGCTTGACTTAGGAGTGATCTTGCCTCTGCACTTGTTGAAGCTCCTCTTGGAAGTACCCAGTGACAGAATCGAGGATGTGTGTGTGGGATCAGTTTCAGCTGACACAACCAGCTGATGTGGACACGGTGCTGGTGGTCATGCCCCTAGCCACTGGTCTTCTGGACCCCTGTCCCTCCTGGCTTATGAAATCTGTCAGAGGGGTTCTGACTGGTTGGGTCCAGAGTGGGGTTAATGCTTTATTGCTTGAGGGGATGGTCCCTGCTACCTTGAAAGAGGAAGGGGTGCAGCTGCTCCTAAAGAAACAAGTTTGGACCACTTAGATGGGATCAACCATCAACCAGTTGCAAATACCCACTTTTGGGAGAAGGTGATGTAGAGCAAGCATGGCCAAACTTGGCCCTCCAGCTGTTTTGGGACTACAACTCTCATCACCCCTAGCTAACAGGACCAGTGGTCAGGGATGATGGGAACTGTAGTCCCAAAACAGCTAGAGGGCCAAGTTTGGCCATGCCTGGTGTAGAGGCAAGTTGTGAGGCAGCTGTAAGAACTCTTAGATTCTGCAGATTATTTGGATCCATTCCAGCCTGGGTTCAGTCCTGGCCACAGGACTGAGATGGCCTTGGTTGCCCTATTGCAGGGAATAGGACAACCTTGCTCCTGCCTCTTCATCTATTGACCATGATATCCTTATGAACAGGCTCTGGGAATGATATTTGTGTTGCAATGGGACACAGCCTGTAGAGTACCATTGGGAGTGTGTTTTTCGGCCCCCTGGAGGCAATGTCATGGGGTGCAACAAGGCACTATCCTATCTCCAGTGCTATCTAATATCTATATGAAGCTACTGAGAGCGGTCATTAGGAGTTTTGGGGCAAGGTGGCATCAGTATTCTGATGACACTCTGCTCTGTTTCTCCATAATTTCTCCAGTAGAGCGAGGCCGCGCTGTCCCTGGACCTGTGTCTGGATGCAGTGGTGAGATTGATGAGGAAAATCAAATTGAGCTTGAATCCTGGAAAGATGGAAGCACTGTGGGTGAGCATGCCCTCCAACATTTCTCCGATGAAAATAGGGACATCCCATTCCATAATGATAATTTTACTATTTATACCCCACACATCTTACTGGGTTGCCCCAGTCACTCTGGGCAGCTTCCAATATACTGTATATAAAAACATAATAAAACATTAAACATTAAAAAACTTCCCTATACAGGGTTTCCTTCAGACAGCTTGGGGGTCGGATAACTCCATACCCTCCAACATTTCTCCAATGAAAATGTCCTAAGGAAAAGTGGGACATTCCTGGATCAATTCAGAAACCGGGATGGCTTCTCAAAATCAGGGATGTCGCTAGAAAATAGGGACATTTGGAGGGTTGGTTAATAGCCTACCCTGGACATGGTTGCCCTCCCCCTTGTTTTGTATTTTTGCAGTTTGGGGGTGCTCCTGGATCCAGCTTTGTCACTGGAGCCCCAGGTAGCCTCAGTGGCTGGAGGTGCCTTTTACCAGCTGCAATTGGTACAACAGCTACAGCTGTTCCTGGTCCGGGAAAGTCTGACCACAGTAGTTGGTGCATTGATTGCTTCCATATTGGATTACTGCAGTACACTCTGTGTGGAGCTTCCCTTGCTCTTGATTCTGAAGCTGTGTTAGCGCCAAGTGCTGCAGCACAATTGCTGACAGGAGTGAGACCCTGTCAGTATATAACACCCCTGCTCAGAAACCTGCAATGGCTGCTGGGACAAGTTCAAACTGTGTTACTATTAGCATATAAAGCTTGGGACCAGTTTATCTGCATGATCACTTTACATATGCTCACTTGACCACTTAGAGGTGTGGAACTGGCCCTTTTAGAGGTGCCATATCATATTCATCCTGCATTTGTCAGAATTTGATCTTTATGGGTGGCAACATCCACACTTCGGAACTTCCTTGTCTATTGACGTCAGGGAGGTGCCTTCACTGTACGCTCTTTGGTGCCTGCTAAAAGCGTGTTGTTGTTTTTTAAAGCAAACCTGCCCAAATATGTAGGATGCTGACAAATGTTTTAATCTGCTTTTAGTTTAGTGTTGCTTTTAAATAATGTTTGAATGTTTTAAATAGTTGTTTTAAACTTTTGTCTTTACTTATTATTCCATTGTGTTATCCTTTTTGCAAGCTAGCTGCTTTGAGTTTGCAAATGTTTGTTTGCTTTTAAATCAAGTGCTATGTAAATTCCATTAAATAAAGAAAAGAAAAGAAAAGAAAGAAAGAAAAAAGTTGACCCACCTTCAGGGCCTGAACAATTTGTTGCATGTGACTACCACTGAAGTTATTTAATACAAATGTTTTCATTTTAGGTGAACTCAGCAATTAGACTCCACTCAGGGGTAGTCTTAAAATAACCTTATTGTGTTTCTTCAGAACTGGACTTCGTTTCTATAAACATTCTAATCCCAAGTTAATGATCTTTTTACTTCTGGTTAGTTGCTGGTGCTGATATCAGCAGCCATCACCTTCCTAAGCTAGTTGTAGTTTGCTTTGGCAGAGAAACACTTTGCTGATCAAATGCCTGTAACTTGAAGCAATGAAGCGAGCCTTGGCCACTGTGTCCCTTAGGCTGAAGAAAAGAATTGACGGTGCACTTTGTAAGTGACCACAATATGACTGACTTTCTGCCAGATGAACTTCCAATATAATCTTTTTATTTTGTGCTTTATTGCTGCTTTGGTCCTGCATTTGGTTATATGTTATGTGCTTTGCAAAAAAAATCCCCCCACAAACCTGGATTCCCGGTGCCCGAAAGAAAAATTGCAGTGATCCAATGCTTTGAACTTTAAGCAGAAAATTCCTTTTCTATATTGCATTTCTCCATGTATGGCAATAAGATATTCTATTTGCTTCTGTATATTCTAACACTGCTTTGATACTTTATTTTAGAAATTAGTGCAGGTTGTACTTCAGGGTAAGGGAGAAGTTTGGTTTGGTTTGCCTTTAATGTGAACTAGGACAGCCATGAGGATTTCTGCTTGGGCGACGGGATTTCCCCCCTCCCCCTGCATGCACCCCATGCCCTCCCCAAATCTGCCTCAGAAGTTTGTGGGAACTCCTCAACTGATTTAAGGGGCACAAAGGGGGAGGAGAGGGAGAGAATGTTCTGTTGTGCAACCAGAAGTCCTCACCCTGATAGAATGTTCACCTTAGCTCTGCATTGAATTCCACCTATAATTTGCACTTCAAGAAACAGTATGTGAACTGAAAAACACAGCTGTCCCTCAGCATTCACACTTCTCATTTTGGATGCAGCTAACCAGGCAAAAACCTTTAAAAATATATAATAATTACACACACACACACACACACACACACACACATACCCCACCCATCTGGCTGGGTTTCCCCAGCCGCTATGTATAGAAGTGAAAATAACATACGAAAAATGCATTACAGCAGGGGGAATTGCAGGCAAAAGTGTGTATATTAGGGGAAATTCCATACATAAATGTGTATACTTTGAGAAATGTGCACTAAAACTCTGATGAATTTTCATGAGGACTTTTTTATGTTTTTTTTAAATCCACACACATAGGCTGATGTGGAAATGTGGCGAACTCAATTTAAGATTGGGAAAATGAGAAACTGAGATAAACCCAAACTGACATATTCACCCACCCTGTTTTCCACTTCAGTTTCTTATGTATTGGAGTGTAATGTTTGTATTTATCTAATCACTTGGAAAGTGTGTTAGTTAGCAGAAGGGGATACAATAAGAGGCCTGCTGAATCAGACCAAAGACATGCTGACTGATCAGGTGCCCATAGGAAGCCAACAAACAGGATTTTCTCTACTGGTTATTGACTGAAATATATGCTTTTTCCTTCTGACCTAAGCCACATAAAGGGGCATGGAATGTCTTTGCTAAAGAAAAAACATTCTTAACAGCAACAGTCTAACTTGGGACCCCCCATTGCTGTGGAAAGGCCCAATTGTACAAGCAAGACAGCCATTTGTTTGAGGCACCAGGGAAGCACCACACCATGTGAAAGTGCTGTCACGGTGAAGCCTCTGATAGCATGCATCTGAATTTGACGTTGCAAGGGTTCCTGGGACAAAGCTCTTTCATCCTCTGTGGGAGTCACTTGGGGCAGCAAAGAGCCTTGAGCTGGTCCTGGTCCAGTGGTTCTCAAAGGGAGAAATGGCAAGTGTGGCAGGAAGATTCAAGGACAATCAAAGAAACATGTAAACATTTCTGTGTAATATAGAATAGTATTTTATTTTTCAAAATATGGATAGATATCTGTTCAAAATGAGAGCAAATTCTGTTATGTAAATCAAGCACTGCTGGGAATTGTTTACTTTTTGGTTTCCAATGTATTTCTAATCAATAAAAAGATTGGTGTGGCATGAGCAAATTTTCTCTCTGAAAGTGTGGCCCAGAGAAAAACATTTGAGAGCCACTGTCCTAGTCAGACTGTGCATAGCAAGAAAGCAAAATGCTGGAATTGTACTATTGTATTCAAGGGCAAGCTTTGATAAATTCAAAGCTCAGCTTTTCAGACGCACCCAATGGATTTGCTAATTTGACTCAAATAATCTCTAAATAATGCACACAAAACCCCCCGAATCTGAGTGGCTTGTTTCCATTTTCAGAGTTAACCGTTCTTCTGTTTTTAGATTCACCCAACAGTTTTGACGATGACGACGATTATGATGATGGGGGTGTTGTGACTGCAATGACTCCTGCAAGTCAGACAACACCTTTGGCAGACAGAAGAGGCATGGATGCTAAGAAAGGTGCGGAAAATACCTCAGTCTTCTAGTCTTCTTTAGCATGCATGGTTATTATTGAGACATTCATTTCAGCTTGTGATATTTATGAACTATGCAGTTAGAAAGGCTGGAGAGATCCTGTCTCAGCAAATGAGTCATAGAGCAAGGACAGAGAGGCAGAAGTTGGTAGACTCTAGGGTTGCCATATTCCCAATAGTGAAAATCTGGACAAAGTTGTTGAGCTCCCCCTTCCCCCTTTTTTATTTTCATTTTGGGACTTTTCCTGAATTGGCCAGGCTTTCCCGGACATTTTGCTGATTCAGAAAAATCCACCCAGATGCCATTTTTCTGAGTGATTCCCAGATGTGTCTGGGGAAACCTGGACGCATGGCAGCCCTAGTAGACACCATCTGCCATCATCCCTGTCCGCAGGCACACTGAGTGTTGGAGTCCAAGCTCTTCAGGAGGGACACAGGAGGTTCTCCATCCCTGCCATAGAGGTTCCATGGTAACCACCAACAGAACACAAATGAGCCACAAATGGGCATCCTTACTTCTTGTGGCAGTGGATTCCATACATTTATTCAGCATTGTCCGAAGAAGTACTTCTGTTCTTTCTCTCAGCCTTTCCTTTTACAAATCCTGGACGATTTTAAGCAAACAAAATCAAAACAGTTATTCAGAGCCTTTGTCTAATTGTGCGACCATTGTATCATGCTGCTTCCCCCCCCGAAGGCGGAGTCTCTAAGTTTAGCTATTCTTTTTCTCCTCATTTCTGTCTTCTATATTAAAGATCTCTGTTCCCTCACACACAATTATAATGGGAGGAGGAGAGGAACCAGACACTTGAATAGACTATAGTCAATTCTAAAAGTGTCTGGAGTCTAAATTCTAAATGTGGCTTATTTCACTCAACATAAGCTGCTGTTTGTCAAGCAGCTAGTGTGAAACATGAGCTCCTGGACAAATGGGACAAAGGCTGCCCCATTAAACTGAGGCCCTCTTCTTACAGTGCAGCAGCACCCTTAAACTTCACCAGCTCTCCCCCACTGAGCTGCCTTCAAGAACTGAGCTATGCCCAATATGGTATGTAGAGGGAGCTCCACCTGCTCACACAGTTTGAAACTTTAGTGAAACTTCTTAGGGTCCAGATTAGAATGTGGTTAATGCATTAAATTAACCGCAAGCTCTTACAGACTCATTTTAAAATTGTTGACTATTCAGCTTGAAACTGACACATTTCGCAAGAGAGGAATGCATGGCTATGTCCCTCTACTAACTTGTTGAATAGTTGGTGGATTTCATCATGGTGGAGTGAGGAAAAAGGGAGTGATTCTGCATTTTTCATGCACATTAGCAGTTTTATCGACTTTGTATGTCTGTGACGTGCTCTGTTTCTAATCCCAAACTCCTGAATTTGTACTGTATAGTCGTTGATCCTGGATACAGCCCAAGCTATTCAAGTATCAATGCCCTTCCTTCTGATGAAGCGACAAGTAATTCAAATTGTGGTATGTATTCCAAATGGCATCTAGATGATGTGTGCACTCAACCTGTAGCCATCCTATCTTACCGCTGGGCTAAATATAATTTCTTTTAACATAAAGGGCTTAGCCTTAGGGGAATCAGCAGGTACCTTGGGAAAGAGCTGACATGGTTGTTCTTCAGGAGACCCACCTCCAAGCTCCTGAGATGGATTGGTTGTGAAAAGACTGGTTGGAGTGAGCACTGGGCACAGGGGGCTCCGCCAAATCTAGGGCAGTAGCAATCCTCTTGCCAGAAGTAACTCACAGATGTGAATCAGAGACCCCTCATGGAGGTCCCAATATCTATATGGATGAGAATAATTATCTCTTAATTAATGGTTATACTCAAAAGACTGAGGGTCCCTTGGGTTTGACACCATTCATGCAAAGGTCGCACAATTACAGAACACCACTATCATTTATGGGGAAGACTTCAATTAAACCTTTAATTTTATTGAGCAAGAGCATATACAAAGAGGGGACTTCCCAAGCAAAGGAGGCACCATGTGTTTCCACAGCCCTAGAATGTCTGATGACTCAGCTAAACTGTGGTCCAAGATTTTATGTATATACAACTGGGTCAAGGCAAGGCTTTTTCCCCTTACATCTGTGTTGGTTAGCTTTTGTGTAACCAAATGCACGGTAGATCCCATATTAATCTCAAATCATAGCTCACATTTAACACACCCATCCTCAACACCCTGGATGTGCCTCACATTGGAAAGTTAGCTCCACACCATGTAGGAAGGTGGTCTATATCTTATGGTTGGAGGTTGCAGTAACATAATTCTTGGAGCACAATAATAAACAGGCAGTAAAACTCCTCTGGGACAGGGGTGGCAAATCTTTGCCCACCTCCCCCACAGTGTTGTTGGACTCCAGCTCTCATGAGCCCCAGCCAACATGGTCAATGGTCAGGGATAATGGGAACTGGAATCCAACAACATCTGGAGGGCCACGGATTAGCAGAACCGATGCAAGAGATTGCAGCACAAGCCCCATTCCTCCTCTCCCCCTACTTTTGCTTTGTGAGAGCATCACTGGAGGTCTCTTGGCTACCACCTCCTCCCTGCCTCACTGAGGAAGGGCCAAGGGAGTCCTTCCTCAGAGTGATGTATTCTGGGATAGATGGGCAGGAGAACACTGCTGCTGCAGTAGCTGGAAATGTCTACATTTAGTAAAATGTTTAAACAGTATTTCCAGCTGCTGCAGCAGCAAACCACATCACTGGTCAGAGGCCCCAATTTCTTTGGGGGGGGGGGCTCCCCCCAAGTCCAAAGACCTCATGAGGAGGCCAAGCACGGAGCTCAGCATGGCCACGGAGGAGAAAGAGGCTGGAAGCAGCTCCCGAATAATATATGAGGAGCTGGAATCTGGGGGGAGGGATGGAAGTGTGGGGATTGGGTTATCAGATGATCTAGATGCAACTTGGACTACCCTGATTGTGTTCCACCTGCAAATCAGAAGTGTTATGTGTGACACATGCTTTTTATCCATAGATAAATACATTTTTGCTTTGGCTTTCCTTTCCTTTTTCCTTTCGGTCCTCTACCCCCCTCGACACACACACACACACACACACACACACACACATAAGAGAGAAATGGGAAGGAGGGAAGGGGCTAATAGGGACTGCCAATAGATTAACAATAAAATGCAAATAATTTTTTTTTAAAAAACCCCACATTCATTTCCTCACAAGCCTGCTTATGTTTAGCTTGTGACTAGGAAAAGCTGTTTCACAAAAACATAAGAAGAGTCCTAGCAGATCAGACTAAATATCTCTTTAGTTTAGCATCCTGACTCCCACAGTGGCTAAGCAGGTGGCTCTGGGAAGGTCACAAGCAGGTAACATGTGCAATATCTCTCTCCTGTTCATGGTCCTCAGCAACCAGTATTCAAAGGCATCGCCTCCATTTTCCTTTAGCGTCAGTGGACACAGAATTGGGAATTTTGATATTATTGTAGTATCTCATCTTTGCTGATCTACGGCATAAATCCGACCTCATTAATTTAGCTACTTAACGTTAAAATATGAGCATATTCTTAAGCAGCTGCAATATCACTTCTTCCAATATTTATACAGTGTAAATTCTCACAGGTGTTTCATTGTTTACATAACTCTATTAAATCTGCAATTAGGTTCACAGAAAGCAAGAAGGAAACTCCCTGAGTCACCAGACAAACCCACTTAAAACCAGACCATAATTCTGTCTCATTTACGCTGGTATAAAGAGCAATAATCTTTATAGCATTGTATAATTTTACACTGTCATGGGGTTGAGGCTTCAGCTCAGTAGAAGAACTCATATTTTGTACGTGGAAGGCCCCCAGTTTCAGTCACTGGTACCTCCAGTTACCATTTCCTGATATGTCCAGTTAGAACCACTGCCTGGTTGAGACTCTGGAGAGCTGCTGTCAGTCAGAGTAGACAGTATTGGATGAGATAGATGGTGTAAGTTCCACACAGCACAGACTTTCTCCTTTGCAAGATCACTTAGATCCCCATGATCATAATAGGAAGGAAAAGATCCAGTTTCAGGATCATTACCTTTCTTAGTTTTGATTGTTGGGGAGCAATTACTTCTTTGTGGGCTCTAAATTATTTCTATATGACTTATAAAATTCCCCACTTCCTCCCACCAAACTCTTGTTTCCTCTACTTCTGATTCCCATCCATCCCCTTTTACAGTCTACATGTTCTTTCTCATACCCCTTATTTTTCTGAGACTATTACGTACTTCAGTTTTCTAATGGATTGGGACTTATACACATAACTCTCCCAGTAGGTGGCAACCCTCTCCCAACAAGTGAATTGGATTTGCTACATGGAATTGCGGGGTGGAGGAGAAGTTGCAGAAATCAGAGAACACGGTGTACCATAATCAGCTGTAGGGCTTATGGTTACTATGCAATACCAGGTTATAGCCGGTCAAGTCGTCCAGGAGGCTAATCACATTGGCCAGACATAGTAGTATTTCTAGATAGCATCTTTTGACTCTTGAAGCTTACAATGACAAATACAGTTCCTCTAATATTCATTTGCCTTGGTTGTATAAAATGTATGTACATTCCTTTTAGATTGGTCCAACTGTCCTCAACAGCAGCATTAACCAAGCATAAAGCAAAATGTTTTAGATGGTTTAGTACTGATTTACCCTCACCTTCAGCATTACTTTTTCAACATGAAAAGATCTAATATTTTGAGCCTTTTCTTACATAACAGGTAAAATTAAAATTTAAATAAAGGAGCATTGTCCAGACTCATTTATGTTGTCTCCCAATTTATGTGGTTTCTTTTCAGTTGAGGTGGCCCAACCTATGCACAGAGACAGCTTGTCTCCCCCTGGAACTCAGAATAGAAATTGGGAACCTTGCTGTGATTGTGCACAAACACCTGCACACTCACACATGTTACATGACTTTGACCCCCTTTGTTATTCATTTGAAAAGGGGAGGTCACCATTTGTTCCTTCTGTTTATTTATTTTTTAAATGTTGCAAATAAAACGCTTCCACTAATCTTCACTTCTACAGCTCCTGCCAATGCTGAGTCTCCGCAAAGGAAAGACAGCAGAAGAATTCATGTTTTCATCCTTTATGTCTTGGTAGCCATCTGCTTTGTGATGTTGTCAGCGCTACTCGTCTTGGTCCTGGTGAACTGTAAGTGATCCACTTCGGATGAAAGGAAGTCTGTATAAATCAGGAATGTGGATTGTGTTGAATCCCAACTCCCATCAGCCCCAGCCAGCATGACCAATGGTCAGGGATGGTGGAGTCCAACGATATCTGGAGGGCTGTAGATTGATTCCCCATCTCTGGTGGAAATGGAAAATTGGAATTGTCAGAAACTGCAGGGGTTAGAAATGGGGACCCACGAATCCAGGCATACTGCCCTGTATGGAAAACTATCCATGAGGGATAGCTCAGCCAGTGGAGCATGAGATTCTTAACCTCGGGGTTGTGGGTTCAAGTCCCACTTTGGACAGAGATTCCTGCATTGCAGTGGGTGCCTTCCAACTCTACAATTCTATGATTCTATCATGGCTATAATTGGTTCCTGGGACTGCATGAGTAATAACAGTCTTTTCTAACCTTTCTCCCTTTGGCTTTGTTCCTAGTACTGTTCCTCTCACCTGGCTCCCACTTGTGAGTGGGCTCAGCTTTGAAAGCTATTTCTAAAACACTTTTTTAAAAATCAGATTTTTGAAAAATGCTTATGTTTTTTAATGAATAAAATCTGAGACTATGTTTCTTTATTTAGCAATATTTATATTCCGCATATCATATCTATACCGAAGCAGTTTATAGTTCTCAAAGGCAACCCACTTAAGGAAATGTGATACTAATAGAAACACATTGCAATAAATGCACATTTAAATACAGTCATCTGTTAAGTAACCAGAACAGTTCTCAAATCCAGATATCAGATTACTGCTCTCCAATGCACTCTCCCTTCCAAACCACCCTGAACTGGAAGGAGCCAGTGATAAATGCATTCCAGTGACCTAGCATCTGCCGCCTTTGCCTGAATCTGCTGCTACTGCCACTGGAAAGGTCTAAAGAACAAATTCCTTGGCCCAATTGAAGCATATTCAGCATATGGATGAGGGCCATCAGCTTATATGCAAGGAGGACATGGTTCAAAGCAAGGTTTATTTTGACAGCACAACAAAATGTAGAAAAACTACAAAAGAAATCTAATTTTCTTTCTTCAGACTCTGGACTATCAGAGGAGATACAAGCTCTGCACTTGAACCAATCAGAGATGCTGCTGAGAGGTAGGTAGTATGGCTCTTTAATATGTAAGGTGGAGGCTGAGATGTCCCACAATGGCTGTGCAGGGCAGGGTAATGGCCCCCAGCACAGGCCCCAGTTGTGCTGGACTGCAGTTGCCACTCACCGGCAGCTGATGATAACCGGTACTTGTGGCATCACCACTGACAGTCTGAACTCTTAATGCACTACTAGATCAATAGCAAAGCAGGAATGGCAGCCTATGGCCCTAACACACTGCTTTTTTGGGTGGACATTTCGATTTGTCTTTCAGTGAAGAAGGACCTGGATCATGTGCAGGAGGCACAAAAGATTATGGAAAGAACCATAAGCAACAACTTCAGTGAACTGCAGGATATCACAGGTGAGACGTCCCTGGAAACGTTATTTATCTTGATTATTTTCCTTCTGGCTTGGTCATCCTGGGGGTCTAAAAACATAGGAGAAGTCCCAGGCAGTGCCATCACTAGGAAGGGAGGAGAGAAGGGAGAATTCCTATTGAACCGTGTAGTAGCAAAAGGGGAGGAGAAATCCAGTTCTGCCCACATTGCGATCTGAGCAGTTGCAATCCACCAGGCAATCCATGTTGGACTTTCTCTGCCTAATCCAGAATAGGGGGAGGCAGCTCCCAGGGCAAGTCAAAGTTAGGTAAAGGTACCCCTGCCCGTACAGGCCAGTCGTGTCCGACTCTAGGGTTGTGCGCCCATCTCACTTAAGAGGCCGGGGGCCAGCGCTGTCCGGAGACACTTCCGGGTCACGTGGCCAGCGTGACGAAGCTGCTCTGGCGAGCCAGCACCAGCACAGCACACGGAAACGCAGTTTACCTTCCCGCTATAAAGCGGTACCTATTTATCTACTTGCACTTAGGGGTGCTTTCGAACTGCTAGGTGGGCAGGAGCTGGGACCGAAAGACGGGAGCTCACCCCGCCGCGGGGATTCGAACCGCCGACCATGCGATCGGCAAGCCCTAGGCGCTGAGGTTTTACCCACAGCACCACCCGCGTCCCTTAAGTCAAAGTTGGTGCCCCCTAACCTAATTGTGGGCATCATGTGGGCCACGGGTGGACTTGGCTGTGCCCCTGCTGCAGCTGCTCCTCATGGAGGTCCCCTGCCAGTCACTGCATTTCCCTCTCAGCTCAGCAAGCTCCCAGTGGGAGAAGCGACTGGCACTCCTTGGCAGGCTTGGCAGCATCCCAGCAGCACTGGAGCCACAGCTGCTGCAGGCCTAGGAGGAGGGCAGTGGAGCACAGGCTAAAGCACCAAGTGTAGCCCTTCCCCAGCCATCTCTCTTTGGCCGCACAGCGCAAGGGCGGGCACTGGCAGGTCTCAGGTGAGCGGGTGGCCCTCCTCCCTGCTGGGGAAGGACTGGTGTGGGCTGGGGAAAGCTCAGGTTCCAGCTGGTGGGAGTTCCACCCAGGTGCAGGCATCCCTTCATCGGCTGTGAGAAGGAGGTGTCACCGCAGCCCTGAAGGCCCAGCCCGGGTGCAGCTCTTCTCCCCATGACTTCGGAACATGGCAGCCCATTGACATGCTTAATTGCTGGCTGCTGCTGCTGCTGCTGTATATTCTGAAGTCCCCAAGTAGGGTACAGTGTTAACAGAGTGTTGCTCTACATTTACTTTGTAGAATTCATCTGTAGCAGCAGAAATTACTCTCATCCGTGCCCCAAGGACTGGAAGACTAAAGAGAAGAACTGCTATTACATTTCAGAAGAGGCGAAAAACTGGACCGATGCTCTGTGGCAGTGCATTTATAATAGGGCTTATTTGGTCAGCATTTGGTCTGATGATGAACAGGTTAGTCTTCCTACATCATCATGATTCAGAATGGACAGACATGCCCATTTTTGTTCTTGACAGTTTCTCATTTTTCCTAGTCTTTAAGTTTAATTCTGCACATTTTCGCATCAGTTTGTGATTTCTTTTTTAATCCCCACGAAAATTTATCAGAACTACAGATTTTTGGGTGCAATCTTCCATAATATACACATTTTAGCAAACATTTTTTTCTAATACAATGCAATTTTATATGGTCATTTTAATTAATATATGCATTTTATGCACAAATAGGATGCATTTTTATACACAATATTTCGTTGGAGAACTGCAACACAAAATTCAGAGAAGTGTGAATTCTGAAATATAGCTATGTTTTGGTTGACCTTTTGTTTCAGGAAGTGCAAATTAAGTAGGCTCACATTACAATGCAAACTGAACCCAATTTCTTGCCCATTCCTATTGATCAGGTGGAGCACCATTCCTTGTGAGGTATTTGCCATTAGCATGGTGTTCCCTGGGTACTATTAAGAAAGCAAGCTTTTTTGATGAGGGGGGGAGCCACAGCAGCTTTTCCTAGTAAGCTAGTTCCCTTCAAAAATGATTCTATTTTCTCCCTCCAAAAATTTTATTGCCAAAAATTGTTTCCTTAGCTTTCACTGCCTCCAAACACACCTTGAGGGCATTTTGGTACAACACTTCCCCTGCATAGTCTGACAGTGGTACCTCTAGTTACGAACTTAATTTGTTCCGGAGGTCTGTTCTTAACCCAAAACCGTTTTTAACCTGAGGCGCGCTTTCGCTAATGGGGCCTCTTGCTGCCGCTGCGCCGCCGGCACATGCTTTCTGTTCTCATCCTGGGGTAAAGTTCTCAACTCAAGGTAACTCTTCCAGGTTAGCAGAGTTTGTAACCTGAAGTGTTTGTAACCTGAGGCACTTGTAACTCGGGATATCACTGTACCATTCAAAAGAAGTATTCCAATATTATAGATTAGTGGCAAGAAATATGCCCTTCGTTTCCTTAACCATCTTTCATTGGAAATGTGTCCCTCTAATTTCAGTGGCATTTTGCCTTCTACTTGCTCATTAGTGAGGAGAGGGCGGTGGCCTGAGGAGACCTCTGTAGGCTGGATTCGGATGCCTTGAGGTCTGGACCTGGATGATGGTCAGAAGCTCCACCACCCCTGCTCTAGTACTGTTTTTTAGGATTGCAGTTCAAATGTAATCTAGATTATTTCTCATCCCAGGGTTTCCTGAGAGATAACATCCACAGGGCAAGCACATACTGGCTGGGTGCAGCTTACAACGAAAAGGAGGGAAAGTGGAGGTGGAAAGAAGGCGATTTGCTTATATCTACAGCGTGAGTACATTTCGAAGTATTTACATGTTAAAAACAGACTGTTTCATGATGCACATTCCCATAGGCCTCAAACCATGTGTGCTGAAGAAATGCAAGGGGTGGAGGTAACCTTTAAGACATGACAAGGGACATCAGTGTTCAGTATAATGAAATAACCAGATTCTAGACTTGTGATGTAGCCAGTCTTTTAGATTCTAATATCAAGATTTTAGCCAGCCTTTGGGAACTTTGTGGTGGTGTTGGCGGTTCTATGCTGATAACAATTATTCCACAATCCCTCTCCCTCTCTTTCTTTTCTAGTTTTTGGGATATAGGACAGCCACAGGTGGGTGCTGAAAAGGAATGTGGTGTCATGCATCCCAACGGAACATGGGCTTCCGCTGTGTGTTCCCTTCCCTATCGATGGATTTGCAAAAGGAGACTGTTCTGCTGAGACACCTGGTGGGACAGGATTGCATACAAGTTGTGTTGCTTCTCTTCCCCTGCTCCCACCCCTCCTCATCCTGGAATGCATTGCAGCTACCAAGCAGACTGATGGTAGATGATAGCTTTTTATCATTGCGTGATCCTAAGCTTCCTAAAGCATTTTCATGCGTGACACATAGTCTTGCTTTCAAGAAGTGAAAGGATTGTCTCTCATATGGAATCTGAGTGATTGTGCCACACAGTGCTGCCCACGTTCCCAGAAGGCCTCACAATCATCCCTGTCAAACGTGGGAGGAGGGGAGAAATCAGCCACCCTGAGACTGTGGGAATCAGAAATGCAGCTTAAGTGTGCTTGGCTCTCCCAACTAAGCAGGTAGCAAACACACCTTTGCAACCTGTTCACATCTCAGGCACCTTATTAACTTTCCCCAGCCAGAGGAGGAAGCAATAGTGGGGTGAGAAGGGAGGCTGTCTAGTGAGCAAGGAGGTGTGAGAATGATGAGCTTGCAGAAGCGTTCAACCTTCCTGAATGCTAGGCACTGTATTAAGACAGAAGGCAAGGAGACCGTGCTGTGTTAGGTGCTATAGGTTCACTATTATTTCAAATGGCAACATACAAGGAGGATATATTCTTTTTAGAGCAGGGTTGGAGAACCATTTTTAGCTGGAGGGCCAGGTCACATTGCAGTCAACCCCCCTCCCCCATTTGACACAAGGGCTGGGCTGATAATCTGTCATTCACCTGATGTCACATGGCATCAAGTGGATCTGAGCCAGGCTGAAAGCAGCATGGCTTGCATTTGGCAGCAAATGTAAAGAATGCCAAATGCAAGCCACCCTTGCAAAGGGAACTACAGGGAGCCTTGCTTGGAATGCAATCCTGGTTGCTCTTTTGCAAGTGTGGCTTCCACATGGTACTGTTTAAATCTGGCACCAAATGCAAGGGTCACTGATTCTGGCAGACATCAGATGCACCTGAGCGAATCTGATCATATATTCTAAGGCTCCTGATTGTTCCTTTGCAGCCATGGCTTTACCTGTCCTGTACCTAACATCATATGACTTCAGACAAGTGGGCATGGCCCAGAGAAAGCTGAGAGGTCTGGTGGCTAGCTTGACTCATGGGATGGGGGGTTCCCATCTGTATGTTAGAGGAACTACAAATAGAAGCAAAGTGTCTGTGACATTTTGTTGAGTTAAGCACACGTATCAATCTTGCCTCTGCACAGCCACGTGATATAGCCACTGCTGGTATTTTTAGGAGAGAAAAGGCAAGTTTTTACTTTTGCAAACCACTTAACTCTTTGCATAGTCCTCAATGTCAAATCTGCAGTACAATACTGTGATTGCCTCACAATCAGGCTTTGCTCAGTTTTATTTCATTTTTATTTCATTTCATTTATTTGTGTGTGTGCGTTTTTCTGCAACTACTTTCTTCTAAACAGCATGATTCAATAGTTCGCTTTTTACAGTTTTGTACTGAACCTTTCGTTTTTCACTGAATAAAAATTATCACTGTAATCATCAATGACTTGTTTTGAGGAATGCTCTTAATTTTCTTGATCTAATGAAAGATAACCATGTGCTATCCAATCCAGAGCTCAAGGCAGCAACTCTGTACCTACTCACCTGGGAGTGAGCCCCAGTGAATTCCATGGAGTAAGCCCCAGTGTATAGGATTGCACCATTGGTAACAAAGAGGACAGCGCCTTTGGCTTACCACTGTGACTGAGGGACATGAGCACTGTCCTCAGATGTCTATTCTAAAACCCTGTGGAACATAGTGCAATGGTGGGAACTGCAACACTACCCTCAATGCCTCATTTTTGAATGTGTTTCAACTAATTGTGTTGGATTAAAAAAAAACCCCAATGAGGCAGAAAGACAGTCACGCATGTGTTTGTCAATTGTATCCTTGATCCCTGGGTTGTAAATCCAATTGAATTCCTCCCTTCCTCTTTCTTTGGATGCTGTGCACTTACCCTTTGTAGCACTAAGTGGAGAGGTGAATTTGTTTAAAGGCAAACACAGCCCTGGTCTCTTCCTCACTATGCAGGCGCAGGGTTGTTACTTGGCACGGCTAACAGTGGTGAAACACCACACTACTACCACAACTTTAGTTTAGAGTAATCCTAATTTGCAAGCATAAACATTAGAATAGTGGCCGCACACCCAAGGTGGCCCATGGATAATGTTTGGGTGTTGGGGCCGTTTAGGCACAATGTTTTATAACAATGAAACATGTTGAAAACAATGAAGCTGCACTGCTGCCAGAAAATGTAGTAATGCTGCCATCTAGCTGCTGGTTGTTGTTTTTTTAAAATCAAAGATTCACACTCCAGGTACTGTATTACAGTGGTACCTCGGGTTACATACGCTTCAGGTTACAGACTCCGCTAACCCAGAAATAGTGCTTCAGGTTAAGAACTTTGCTTCAGGATGAGAACAGAAATCGTGCTCCGGCAGCATGGCGGCAGCAGGAGGCCCCATTAGCTAAAGTGGTGCTTCAGGTTAAGAACAGTTTCAGGTTAAGTACAGACCTCCGGAACGAATTAAGTACTTAACCCGAGGTACCACTGTACTTAATTTGTTTTTTGTTTTTTTGTTTTGTTTTTACACTTAAATAGTGGGGGCTATCCACAAATAGTTGTGGTTTGCCAACATGCAGAAACCACTCTCGGTTATGGTGATATTCCAAATGGCTATGATAGAACTAGCTGGATAATGTCAATATTGTTTTTTCCCTCTACCCCACACCCTCAAACTGGGCTTCTGTTCTCACTGACATTTGGGTACCAGACCAGAATCTGAACAGAACTTAGGCCTGAAAGAAAATCCAGCTCAGGACATATCTAGCCTGCCTTCCTTTCAAGTGAGGGCATTATGCTCAACACCCTAGCAATATGAACCCAAACCAGAACTTGCCATGGACGTTTGAGCACATCTGTCACCCTCATCTGTTGCCAACTCCCCTTCATGATAAAAATCACCCAGGATTGCAAACCAGAGATCTAGTCTATATCTTTAGATTCACCATTGTAATGGAAGACAAGGCAGCCCCAATTTATCCCCCAATATCAGGTCCTGTCATCTTTACCCTGCCTCATAGGGAAGCTGTCTCATACCATCTTGGTAGTGTCCATCTTGGTAGTATCATCTTCTCTCAACAGGCAGCAGCTCTCCAGGGCCTACGGCAAAGGTTATTTCCCATCCTCTGCAACCTGATCTTGGCTCCATCTACTACAACATTGCCTACTCTGGCTGGCAGCAGTTCTTCTTGGGCTGTGCATTTCACATGCCCTGCCACCCCACCCCTTTTCAAGTGGAGATGTGAGGTCTTCTGTATGTCAAGCATGCCCTCTGCCATTGACCTATAGTCCTTCCCCCTGCATTGGGGAATTGAAGAGACTGGATTGCAACCTAGCAACAATATTGCCATCATTATGTGCCTTTTACTAGTTGCTGCCTATGCTTGGGAATTATCCCCTTCAGCCTTCATTAAGCTACTTTGCTCTGCGTCGAGTTATTCTTCCAGTCCCTCTTTATATACAAAGACTTTTCTGCATCATCCTATCATCATCCTAAATTACCTGCTCCTCCACTAACATTTTACTTCCCACAACTATGCATTGTAAAGTCCTGGGCTCCCCTCACCCCACCACTTCCTTTCCTTGTGCATCTACTGTAGATGGAGGAGCAGGTCTGTGCAGAGACAGTCTGCTGCTTCTGTGTACTGCTTAGCATCCAGCTCGCTGCTGGCAATCTATAAAATGTTTAGCAGTGGTAGTGCTAATGATACAGTGGGTAATTTTACTGTCAGTGTAGTTGTGCATAGTGAGGGGTAGTAGGCACTACCTTCAGAGGTGGGTGGGAAGAAAAACCAGAGGGATAATCAGAATCTGAGAACAGGAGGAGAGAGGGGAAAAGAGAGAGAAGAGGGAGGGATGGTGGAAGAGACAGGCATGCACGTGATGCATGGCACTGGCTATGGGAGTCTACAGAGCATGCCTGGATGGGGTGGTCTTATTTACTACTTCATGGAAAGCAATTTTTCCACCAATATCTGTAATGTTTATTTAGACAAAGTGCATTTCCCTGAAAGAAAGAAAAAAGGTTCCGAAGGAGACTGGTTTAGATTCAGCTTTTATTTTTTGCCCCAATTGGTGCATTGAGCAGTAAGCAGAATTGGTGCATTGAGCAGTGGGCATTTGCAAAACAGGTGGAGCTGTGCATTTCTTTCTGGCTAATGTTACTTTCTGCAGCAGCTGAAGAATCTACTGCTTTCTCAGGGGATGGGTTAACCTGACCCAAACACGTTTCTTTATAATGAGAGCATGAATTTATATCTCGGCAAAGGGGACAAATACAGCTCCATTTCACGGTACTTGTGAAGGGTGCTCATTGAGCCTTGTTCAGTGTTGCTGCTTACCCAGCAGGGCTGCCTGGCAGACAGAACCTTGTTCCAGGCGGCAAAACAGGCCTGTCTGCATACCAGGCCAAAGGATGATTGGGGGCTCTTTGTCTGCTTCATGGCCCAACTCACAAGATGAGCAGTAACAAGCTATTGACTGACTTTACATTGCCTCATAAAGCTCCTTAGTGAGGGTGAACTATGTTTTTAAACCAAATTGAGAGAATACATACAGCAGTGGTTGCTTAAAGGTGGCATTTGAGCTCACCCCAAACATCTACAGCTGGTGTGTGTATTGGGAAAAGGGTAACAAACAATTTTCCTAATCTGTCCTCATTGTTTTGCTCCATCCCCTGCTGCACATAGAGAAGCAGAGAGAAGCCAAGTGGAATTGGAGTGGGGAAGGTAAAGGAAATGGTTACTTACTTCAACACACACACATCAGAGAGAGAAGGCAATTAATAACTCCGCCTCCCAACTCAGTTGGCAATGGCATAGCAAAGGGAATGATTACCTGTCCTCTACTGGAACGACCACCTGGAATTTCCAGCAGCTCCCTCGCACAAAGGGTCAGGGTACAATCCAGACTGCATCAC